GAAGCCGTGATTATTTTAATCGCGGCTTCATTTCCCTCTTCCGATCTGGCTAATCTACATGCCTCCGTCGAAGGAGGCATGTAGTCTAGACACACCCTGTGCAATGCAAACTGTGCTATTTCGAAAGAGAGCATCCAAGCTGCCTGGGTGCTCTCTTTCGAAAAAGCAGCATGCTTATTCAAAAGTACTGGTGGTAGTCTAGACATTCTTTTTTGAAAGAGGCTTGCAGTCGAGACGTAGCCAAAGAGAGACAGAGAGAGAGGTCCTAGTCCCTATTATGAAATTCAGTATATGGAACATTCAGTGAAGTCATGGTAGTTGCAAAAAACTCAGCTGTGCTCATTTCTGTTTGAGGACTTTATAGTATTTAAAATTTTAAAAAAATCTTATTTTTTTAGCATCAGCTTGGGTGATCCCTGTGCTTCAGTAAAAAATATAAGTGCCAAGTGACACTATTTCAGCAATCCAAGGATTCCATATACCGTATATACTCGAGTATAAGCCGAGTTTTTCAGCACATTTTTTGTGCTGAAAAATGCCCCCTTCAGCTTATACTCGAGCAGTAAAAAATATAAGTGCCAAGTGACACTATTTCAGCAATCCAAGGATTCCATATACCGTATATACTCGAGTATAAGCCGAGTTTTTCAGCACATTTTTTGTGCTGAAAAATGCCCCCTTCAGCTTATACTCGAGTCAGCGTCTCGAGAACTGAGGCGGGCGGGCTCAGCGCGTCTCTGCCGCCGGCCGGGTCTAGCCGCGTGAGCCCGGAGCTCCGGCCCCGGTAACCGAGGTGCTCGGGGCGGGGGGCGCTGCCGGGAGCGGGCTGGGCTCCGTGTGTCGGGGGCCGTCGCTGCGCGGGGCGCTCGGAGCCTCTGCCCGCCGCCTGGGTTGCAGCTGCTCGGGGGTTCCGCGTTATAAATCTCCCTGGCTGTAGATTAAGTCTATAATTTCTTGTCCTGTCTTCAGTGAACATGGAGAACAATTGATCACTGTCACTAGCCACAAAACAATGGCCTGGTTTTCACCTACCTTGGTGGTATCTGAGATGTTTAACATCAGGCGAGGGATTTGTAAAGAAACAAGTTTTTTTTTCTTTTTTACCTGGTCCAGGGACAGGTAGGAATTGCTGTAACTTCTTTGTTCTTACCCTTCTGTTTATCTCAGTGGTGTCTGGTAGAGTGCCTGCCTGCCTCTCCTACTGAGATTCATGTCCCATATGCTCTTGTATGCAACGGGAGCTGGAGGCAGGGATGGGAGGGGTGTGTCAGAGCCTGGGGGACAGAGGTTCCCAGTAGCCCGGGGGCTGGGATGCGGTACTCACCATGTGTCAGTCAAGGAAGCTTTCCAGTCCCTGCAGAGATCAGACAATCTGAGCTATGGGGCCTGCTCCTTGCCCATCTCGCTCCGTCTGACGGGGAGAGCGAAGGGGGCAACATTGAATGACCAGGGTTGGGAGAGGAGGGGAAGGCTGCATGCAGCCTCTTAGCACTGGCCTTTCTCCCAGAAATAGCCCTCTCCTGATCTTGCCATTCAGCACCCCTGTCTCTGCTTCCCTTGCACTGGTATATGACATAGTACCTGTCGTGCCACCGTGGTGTTAGCACACTAGTTCCGTGTTAGGCTGCAGAATCGAATGCAGAGATTTCAGAGCCGGTGGGGATTTAGCTATGCAACTCCGGTTCTTTGCAACAGGAATTGTGGAACTAAATCACATATTGGGTCTCGAAAGTCTGAACCTCACACTGCAGTTGAATAGGATTATGTGCACAGGTCCCCACAGGGCATGAGCGAGCATTTCTTTAGTCGGGGGAGAAGCTGATCACCGGCAGAATGTGTTGAAAACATTTAAAATTCGAGACTTCATTTTAACTACTGACTGTAGGGCCTGCTAGTGCATTTCTCTACATGGCTGGCTCAGAATAACCCCCGTTCCTGCTTTCACTGTTAATGGGAGAATGCAGCGCTGTTAATGGGAGAATGCAAAAGCATTATCAGCAAGACTGATAGAAAATGGAGTATCACCTACGCGGCTGGTAGGACAAAAAGGTGATGCTAATGAAAAACAACCCATGAATGTGACACTATGTTTTGTGTTACTAGTGTAGAGCGATTTGCCCTAAGGCATGGGACTGCATGCGCTGTACACTGAGGGTGTGTCTAGACTACAGGGGTTTTTCAAAAAAAGTGGCTTTCCCTTGTGTCTAGACTGCTGCCGTGTCCTTTCGAAAGTAAATCGAAAGGACGCAGCTGTTTTTTCGACTGCAGAAAACCTCGTTTTACGAGGAAGAACGCCTTTTTTCAAAAGTGCTCTTTCGAAAAAAGATGCTATATAATGCAAACTGTGCTTTTTTGAAAGAGCATCTAGACTGCCTGGGTGCTCTTTCGAAAGAGCCGCATGCTTATTCAAAAGTACTGGTGGTAGTCTAGACAGGGCAGGGGTCGGCAACCTATGGCTCGGAAGCCAAATATGGCTCACTAGGGAGCCAGGTAGGGCTCTTCTGGAGCCCCAAATCAGTCCCCACCTTCCTCCCTGGGCATCAGGGAGCCAGTGCTGGTGCTACAACCTTACGGCCCCCACAAGCCTGGAACACCATTGCCAGCTTCCTGCAGAAAGGGCGAGTGGGAGGAGAAAGCCCCAAGCCTCCGTACAGGATCTGGCAAGCAAAAGAACAAACAGGCTAAAAATGGCTTGGTGAGACAGCCTTTTCCTTTCCCCACATGAAAATCCTCAGTCCTCCCTGCTCCCATTATGGGTCTGGAGCACCAGGGGCATGAAGTGTTTCAAGTGGGAGTGTAAGGGGTCACATCAGGGAAGGTTGGGGGTTTTGGAGGGGAGGAGGACTTCTCACTTTTGTGGTCCCTGACTGATTTTTCTGTGGGTCAGTGGCTCATGACCCAAAAAAAAGGTTCCCCTCTCCTGCCAGAGATAAAGACAATGTTGAAACCTTGTGTGTTGGACATAATATTTTACTTTATTTTAAAATGAAGCCTGGCCAACAAGCCCCCAGTTGGGGCCCAGCCCCCATGTGGACACAGCATCATAATGCTCCTGCACCCCCACCCACACACGTGCCAACCCTGAGCTCATCATACACCTGGACCTCACATACTCCCACATCCCCACTCTTGCACCCCCACATCCTTAGTCCTCTGCCATAACACACCTACACCTCCAAATACCCCAACCTTTTGCCCTGAGTTCATCGTACACCCCAGTCTCTTGCCCTGAGCCCCTTATACATCCCAACCCAGACTCCTTCCCTCCCCCGCAATCCCAGCCCCCTGCCATAAGATTGACAGAAAACAGCCTGAATGCATGCATGAAGCTGGATTTGACCACTTATGATGTAAACTTCAAAGAAACGTGCAAAAAGATGCAGCAGCAGAAGTCCCATTAAATAAAACCTGTGAGTAAAATGTTTCAGTTCTGCTATTATTAATTATGTCAGTTACCAATAGTATTAAATTGTTTATTTTCAGTCATGCACGTGGGCTGTCTTATACGGCTCTTTGTTGATCAT